CTGTACTTGGCAGTTATATTTAATACTGTACTTGGCAGTTATATTTAATACTGTACATATATAAGTTTAGTTAATCTGTTTGTGTATTATTTTTCATTATTATTTCATGTATTATCAGTATTTGCCTGTTATTGGCTTCTTGCTGTTGGCAAACACGTAAATAAATTAATTGAATTGAATTGAATTAGTGTTTTACATTTATACTAGTGTTTACCTAGGTAGATTATTTGCTTTTTATCAAATTTCTATATTTGTATTAGTGTTTGCCTGTCATAGGCTCTTTGCTGTTGACAAACACTTAACGAAGTAATTAAACTATTATTATTATTATTATTATTTAGTATTATTTATTTGATTTAGAATTATTAAATTGAATTATATTACTTAGGTATCGTATTTAGCCAATTTATTTGTGAAATATGATTCAATAAATGAATCTAATTATTATTGTTATTAATATGGTACGTTTATATATTTAGTTTCATTTGTTTGTTTTACTTTTATTATTATTGAAATAAATTAATTACTTATTATATTTTATCCTGTACTCTGGTTTAGTGCTTGGCTGTTATTGGCCTTTTTGGCTGTTTTCAAGCACTTAAATTAATAAATTGAATTGAATTAAAAAGGTGTTGATTAAATTAATGAATTGAATTGAATTAAAAAGGTGTTGGAGATTAAGATGGCTGACTATTGGGATGTTGTGTAGTGTGGTAGATGTTGAATGACATTTGAAGGGTTCTTGCTGATTCCATCGTCTGGTTTGCACCCTGAAACGTCATCCAATACCTACCAGACTACACTGTCTTGCATTTCAGAAGACGTCATCTGTATAATCTTAGCCATGAGAACCGTAAGTCTAACCAAGTTAATGGTTGCTGCTATGGGCGATATACGTGAAGTCGAGTAGATGAAGGGAGACGCTTGTGAAGAAATTTGAGGATGGATGTTTCTATGAAGTTGTTACTTGTAGGCAAGAACAATGCTATTAATAGAAGTTCTGTGAAGAAATTGTAGGGTTTATTACTTACTTAAAACATTTGTGGATGTGTGGAAATGCGAACAGGAACCATAAATTTGTAAGTACGTAGTTTAGTCATCTGTTTCTGTACATTATGATTTCTACTTATAGCCGTAAATAACGATCACTTAAACGTTTCGTAAATCCGCAAGTTTCTTTTAACTTTTAACACTCAAACACTATTGCGTAAGGATATTTTAGGTATATTTATGGACTCCTCACACAATTTTACAAGCTCTACTTATCCATTATTTATCGCCATAAATCCAGAAACTGAAAATAGAATCCTCAGTGCTGTAAATAATAAATTTTAATGTAGATTTTAAATATAAACATGGCGACAATTCGTAATTAGAACGAAAAGCCTTAGAACGGGTCATATTCAGTCTGTTTCTTGCTATTACATTTAAATCAATGAAAACGTTTGGGCTTGAATGAATATAATCCTGCTATGGCTCAGACAAATGACGAGCTCATAGCTCTACATGAAGTTCGTAATGGAGCTATTTCTTATAGTCATCAGCGCCGTCTTGAGTCGGTTGCGTGTACACATTTAACTGCGCGGCGCTAGACACTGATGGACGATGTAATTAGATTTCTTGCCTTGTGTTTAGTGGTTAAGGCTGAAGTAACTGAGCGAATTAAATCTTCGACGTATGAAGAAACTTTACTTGCCTTTAGAAGACCAAGATACTAAGTAATCTTAATAAATTACAGTATAACAAATGGAATAGTAAGTAATTTTGTAATGTAAGTGAGGAAGAAGATATTGCTGAGATTTCATAGCGTGCTGCAGGGTTAACACCGAAGATCTCGGAGGAAACCTGCCCCATTGCCAAATTTTGTACCACAAAGACTGCCTTGGGATCGACGCCGGGCGTCCATAGTGAGAAACCGTCAACTAACCGCCTGTGACATGTAGACACAATGTCGACAAGAACTTTTGGAAGACATTACAGTCAACAAAATTGGAAAGTTATGATAAAAATATAAAGATCTTTTGGAACGGAGGCTAGTCCGTTGTCTTGGAGGAGCAATTGAATATAGGATAGGAAACAGAGGCATGGGGAAGCTAGTAAATTGTGGTAATGTAGTACCTAGACGTCTAGAGGAAGAATAGTAAATCATTCTTATTCATTCTTGAAAGTAGGTCGTGTGCCACGTGCGAAGACCGGGCCGAGGGTTGCTTGTAGCTGTGTTGCACGAAGCAGATGAAAGGCGCATTTTAGCGTAAGTTAGTCAAGGAAAATGATATGGGAAAGTGTGTCTGTCCGTTCGTATGTGATAGGTCGTGTTATAGACGAAGGGTTTCGATACAATTTGATGTAAGCACTGAACATATTTGGGTGTTTTTAATTTTGTTTGTTATTGGTGTGATCTAAACTTTACTTTAAATGGAGCACAAATAATAATTAACAGAGTTGATAAAAGCGTTTCAGTGTTAAGATATTGGCGGGATAATAATTAACAGAGTTGATAAAAGCGGTTTATTGTTAAGATATTGGCAGGCCTGTCGGTACGGAGTTAAATACAGGGTTTCATAAAATAATTCCGGCGTTTTAAAATTAAATATTTATTGAGCGGGATAAGATGGAAAAAAAGAATTGAATCGATAGGTTAGGCAGTTTGTTGAAATTGTTATAATGGTATTTGCCATTGCCTTCTTCTGTGTGTGTGAATGGAGTAATTGTTGGGATGCCACGGAGGAAAACTCCGTGTTGTCTAGACCACGGCCTTGCCCAACACAAGTTATAAATTCGGGCACCGCCGGGAATCGAACCCGAGACCCCAGGATTACAAGGCCAGCGTTCTAACCGCTAGACCACCACTAGAAGTAATATATGCAGAATTTTGACTAGGAAACTTATTATAAAGCTGAAACATGGAAAGCGAAAAATAAAATTAATTATTACAATTTATTGGAAGGAATTATATTTTTATTGGCGATTTTAGAGCGTGTTTAAAAAAAGAATTAGTTAGTAGTCGTTGATGAAGTATGCCCCACCATTGCGACACACGGAAATAGGCACAAGTAACAGCAGCATTGCTGATAGTCCCTTTTTCCAGCAACCACTGAAACCAACGTGTTATATCATCCCATCGTAACACAATTCCCAGATCACACTTTTGGTTGCCACAGTAACGTCTCTCGGACAACCACAGGTAATGCGTGATCGTACTTTATCCAATCTGCAGTAATTACAATTCTTGTACATCTGGCCGTGATATTGCACATTGTATGATTCCTCGTCCACAGCAAATACCCAGTGGTCGCCACTGTAGTGGTGACACGTAAGCAATGTGAGTTCTGTTGTTCCTGGAAGTTCGTAACTGTCTAGTTAAGTAAATTCTTAGTTTATGATTAAACGTGGAATTGTGCACTGTAATCCTGTAGGAAGCAGAAACGAGACTAACTACACACGAAGGGCTCGCCATTTTAAACAGCGAGGAATACACGTGGATGTCATTTTGTTTTAACGTAGCGCTACGAAGTTAGTTGAAGGAACCGTGAGATCTGACTGTTGCTTCAAGAAGGATTCCGTTATCGTTTCAAATCTTATTTGCATGATGACATGGAAAAGTTCTTAAGTAATGTAATTAGACTTCACAAGAGTACGATTCTCTAGAGAGTGAGTCTAAAAAAGAAATAAAGTTAACTTCATAACTGTAGTAATATTTTGCTATTCTTACATGAAGATACTGAGGAAAGCTAAACATCTGAGAATCAAACGAGAAATTTTTAATTTAATATTACGTATATAAACGGGCTTTATGTCGAATTCTGATAAACACAGAGAAAATAATTCTATGCTTAATTTAATATTACGTATATAAACGGGATTTATGTCGATTCT